ACTATTGCTGATGTGGCAGGAACTAATGCAATCACATTGATTTATAAATTGTACTAACACTTCCAGCTGATGCCATAAATCAGTGGATTTTACTCTTTTTTTTTTTTTTTTTTTTTTTTTAAACCAGGTTTACACATTTCCTATTGTAAACTTTTTCATGCATTGTTGAGTAGCACGTATGGAATAACTTCTAGTCGACTGTCTCTGATCTCATAGAGCCCATCAAGCACAGACTGAAAGCTCCCAATTTAAAACAAAAGTGCCTTCAAAGTAAGGTCTCTAACCCTCACAGATGGATTAATTCATGGAAATGTTTTTTTTTTTTAAAGTAATATTTTACAGGAAGGTAGGTATATTTTTCCAGTATATTTAATTGTCAAAGATGTTTTTAGTGAAAACGAGCTCTTGCCATTACTAATGAATAAGGCAGCTGAAATTCCACTATATCCACTGCCTAAGTTAAAGTTCAGTTTCTAAAAGGTTTATGGCAGTAATAGAGTGCAAAGTGTTTCTGAAAATTGTAGAAGGGGTAGAAGAGAGTAAATTTTCTGGCATGCCCGTCTATGGAGAAGTTGTAAATGTATCAGGGGTAAACAAAAACAACCAACCAAAAAAATGGTAATAAGGACAACTGTTTTCTGCTTGTGAAGGTGTTGCTATCCTAAAAATACCACACTAATGTCTCATGCTACTAAGGCTCTCTGTCAGTATTTTGTATAATTGATGTCTGAAAAATGTAAGAGGCTTTCTGGTTGTGATACCCAGAACACAAACCAGCACAGAACCCAATCACAATCCTTAGTTCTCTGGAGTGAAAACCTGTCAGTAAAATGATTTTTCTGAACTTAATGCTGTCAATTAAAGTAAGCACTATCAGCTGTATCATACCTACTTGGTATTTCTGTTGTATGTAGGTGTCCATCATACAGGACTGTTGTGCTCAACTATCTACAGTGGTCAAGTCTGTCTGGCCTAACACATGGATTTCCTTTAATCAATTCTATCTAAATGAGAGCACTAGCTCCTTCCTCAGTATGTTTTTATAAACCACATTTTTTCACTTTCCCATTAGGAGATTGTTTCCAGCAAGTGTTGATAGTATCAGTGAGGTTGTAGTTACGCTCATAAATGAGCAAGTCTTTCTTGTCTGTCTGCTTTTTTTTTTTTTTTTTTTTTTTTCTTGCTTGCTTGCTTTCTTGCTTTCCTGCTTTACTGTAGAGGTTGGCATCATGCAGATATAGGCAGTGAAAATATTTTATACTCTTTTTGCATTTTTGATGTCTTAACTAATAAGTCTCAAAACCATGATTTTTGCACCTGTTCTTTTCTGTTACTTTTGTCTTTTGTTTAGTTGAATGGGCTAATATGTCCAGAGGAAGGATGATATCCTTCCTTTTTCATAAAATCATTCAACCTTATTGCTCCTTTCTAGTTTGTAGGTGATTCTTCAGGTATTTCTGCCTTGAGTCTTCTTCTGCTAACAGTACAGAAATGGTTTCCAAGAAGTTTAGATTAATGTTTTCTGCTTCAGTGTCTGTCTAAGTTTCCTAGTATTTTCTATAGTCTGAAGAATGTAGAAATTTCACCTAGAGGCAAGTGACAGAATGCTAATACATATTGTCAAAAACATTGTTTCAGTACTCAGATTCTCATACGCCATTCTGGATTGCTGTAGGATAGAGCCCAGGGCAGAAAAAAAATACAGATCTCAAGTAAGGCACTGGGGGAGAAGGAAAGAGGAGGGGAAAGAGAGGGGGGAAAGGAAGAAGGAAAGAGATGAAGAAAGAAACTTTCTTTTGGAGTGGCAGCTCCTGAGGCAGCTTGAATAATATTTGAGATAGAAATAGATTTCTATCTCAAATTTCTATTTTCAGTGTGGTAAAATAAGTCTGTGCTAAAATTAATCTGTGAAGAATCAAATCATTTATTATAAAACTTATTAGGCTTTTCATGAATTTTGAATAAATATACTTGTGTTTTTTCAAATAATCTAAAAAAACAAAGATGTGGATGGAAAATGTCCACAGAGTTGGTTCATATTTCCAGAAGGATATCAGTGATATTAATTATGAGGTTTAGTGTTGCTTTGCAACTAACATACTTCTGTAGTTCCTGTAGTCAGGCATGTAAATTATTTGTAACATGTGGATGGAATTTACAGTTTATTGCTATGCTTGATTGTCAGTCTTTAATTCTAATTAAAGCCATTTCAAACAATCAGCAACACCAACATTTTCCCTGATATGAGGAACAATTTTTCTGGGCATCGGATGTTTCTGAAACAGCATTTCTCAAATACATATTATTCTCACATTTTGTTGGGCCAAAGCCTTGGACCTTAAGAACCCCAGATTTTGGGTGTGTTGGCAGTTGAAATTCTGTTGTGCACACAAGGCTTGTTTGTACTTTTTCAGGCTATTTCCTATTTGCTGCACAAATCTTCTATACTTTAGACCCTGCTACTGAAGATATATCAGTGGAGGTACCTGATTCAATTAACTTACGCAGAGGATTTAACTTTCAGCAAAGTATAGTTCTTTTAATTATATTTTTTTTTATTTGTTTCTCTCTGGGGTTCCTATCATACTGCCTGCTTAAATATGTCCTGTCATTTCATAGTTGATGGGAAGGTAAAACCTAATGTAGAGTTAAACTGGCCAAGCTCTTCTGTAAAGTTTTTTCCTTGCCAGAGCACTCTGTTTCCAGACACTTCACACTTCATAGCCATTGAAAAATGCAGCTTTTTGACAGCCGAGTGGGTAGAAAGTCCATAAATGTGAATGTGTCTGCATGCTGTTGGGCTCCCTGCCTTTTACAGTACTCACGTGCAGTGTGTTGCATATAAACTGGACTGCAGAGCAGGCTATACTGCCTTGCTGCAAGGAAAGCAGGACATCAGGGCCCTTCTTTTGCTCTGTGGCTCCTTTCCCCACCAGCAAGCACCCTGTGTGCCCATGTAGAGAGGCTACATGGTGCTAAGCCCACCGTACTGCTGAACTCTGCTGCGCCCCGTGGGCTTTGCCTTCGACTCTTCCTGTGTTTGCCTGTCTGCCCTTACACCTGCTCAGCACACCGTGTAGTCTGCACACAGTAAACTAAAGCAGCACAACTTCCAGTGTCCTTTATTGTGAGTTTAGCCTTGAGTGCATACAGAAGAGTATGACTCCCAGCAAGGTGAGATGAGAAAGAAGTCTGCAACCTGACAGGACATTACAGCTGGGCTGAACTCATCGCCTTGTGGTGAAGTGGAGGGGTGAGGATGTAATTCTTGTTTGTAATATACAGATATGAGTGTATTGCTCCCTTCCCAAACTGGGTGTGTATTTTGATCTCCAGAACTTTTTTTTTTTTTTTTTTTTTCCTTTCACAGCAGCAGAGATTGGTTCAGTGTTATGCAAAGTTGAGGGGAAAACAAACAATGTAGCATGCATGGTTTGAGGCATAGTTGGAGCTTTAAAACATCTGTGTGCAGAACTTCCACTGCAGTCAGACCTATCTGAATGGCTGGAGCCCTTCTTTGGAAAAAAAAAAAAAAATCTCTCTTAAAAATGCTGGCAGTAGAGGTAGGTGTTGCCCATTATTTGCTGCTGAAGCACCTCTGCAGTTTGCATTAGGAGGACATTTACAAGGACCAAGAGGCAAGATGTACACGAGAAAATTGACACCCAAGCAAAGAATAACTATTGCGTTTTGAAGCTTGCAGAGGAACAAGTGTTAGATAAATGCATATGACAAACAGACCCTGTTTGATCTCTCTAAGAAGATTTGACAAGTCAGACACACAGGAGCCATAAATTACCTGTAATGGCAAAAATTACATCAGTTATAACCTTTTAAGCAGTTGTGCCTCATACAGCATCAATTCAGCGATATCAATCTAAGGAGAACCAATCTCTCTATACATATTTCCCTTGTAATATACAGCTACAAGAGTAAGCTGTGTCTGATTTTCATAAGACGTGATAATAATCTAACCATTCTAGGCTCCATACCGCAAACCTGTACTGATAACTAGCTCAGACTCTAACTGATAAACATATTAGGCCAGGAAAACCATTTTTTACTTTGAAAAAGGAATGGGGGTAGGATTGAGATGTCATATTTTAGGGGATTGCATAAGGGAGATTCCCGTAATCAGTCATCAGGCTGTTCAAAGGCAGAGGCTGTGGGGCTAGAGGGGCTGGGCACTGCAGAGCAGCCTGCAGAGCTCTGCCATTTTTGTACCTGGAAGATCACCTGTGCCTTTTCTCTAGAGGATTTCCCTCTTGCAGTCACCTTTGCTTTGGCACCTTGCTTGCGACCAATGTGCTGACCTGTGGCACCCAAGGAGCTGGCTGGTGCAGGGCAGAGCTGCATATGGCACCTATAAAGGCAGGGCCCGACAGCACAGGTCCTGTAGCAAAAACCTCTGGTAGGGGCCTGCTTCTCTGCCTCTCCTAATGGAAGAGCTCGATTTCCCCCAGAGCAGCACATAGGAAAGACTATTTCCACCCTCTCCACAGCCTTTCTTTTGCTCATGTGGTTGCTCTTGGGGGCCAAAGGAGATGCTTCCCACCCTGCTCTCCCTTTCCTGTGCCTGTCCCATTTACGGGGTGTCTCAGCATGGGATAGAAGCGATTTGGCAATCCACGGGGTGAAGACGAGCCTGCCGGCCCTGCAGAGAGGGCTTCTGGTGCCACGGTGGCTTGGAGCATCTCTTTTTAGCTCAATGATCATTTTTATTTGCTTTTGATGACTGTTTGTTACTTTTGTCCTGAACACTGAAATTCTTGCAAGGCCATTTTCCCAGAAACTTCCCCAATGAGCTGAATCATAGTGGGGAAAGCCACAGTGTTTATTTTTTTTCCTCAAAATTAATTTGTTTACACGGTAAGGAAAGTTCTGTTCACAATGCCTTTTTGGGTAGAAAAGAAGGGAAATACACGCTGATTCTAAGAAATTTAAAGCCTTGCTTTCAGCAGGCTAACCACTTCTCCCAGCAGCCAGCCTGGGTGCTGGTGAGCTCCCACACCGCCTCTGACTGGTGCTGCCCAGGCAGCTGGTACCTCCCTCACATGCTGCTAATGGCCCATGCTACCAGGATCCTGAAAAAGACATGGGCAGGGGCATTGCTCCTCAGCAGTTATTGCTTCCACATGTGTGTAACTGGCTTAAAAATCACCTGCTGTGTCCCAGCAGCCCTGTTCTCATTTCTATCTCCCTCACAGCCGTTAGCTGGGCCCTTCAGGTGCAGCTGTCCGTGCTGGTGAGGCCAGGGCTGCTCCATGCTGGCCCCCCATGGCCCCACCACAGGGCCCAGCTGAGTCCCTCAGCCACAGGTGGGCTCCTCACAGACAGCAGAGCTCAGCAAGGGCCAAACACTGCCCGGCAGTGAGAAAAGGAGTGCGAGAAGCAGCCCTGCGAGCAGCCAGGGCAGGAGGTGCTCCAGGCACCCAGCAGAGCTTGCCCTGCAGCCCCTGGAGAGCCCAGGGTGTGAGGAGGAAGGGGCGGCACAGAGGAGCTGCTGGGTGTGACCGCAGCCCCGCTCCCCAGCCCTGTGCTGAGGTAATGCCAGTGGCCATGCTGCCTTCTGTGGGGGTGAGACTGAGTATGGGGGATCGGGGACGGGAAGTGTTGGGGTTGCATGGGGTTGGCCAGCGCTGCTGTTGGGGTGGGGAGTCTGCAGCAGTCTTTACTCCTAGGGTGTCCCTTGAGGGTCAGGGTTGAGGTGATTCTGGGGGAGAAACAGCTGCCTGGGCTGTAGTTGAGGTGATTAAAGGGAAACTTCCTCTGTTTTTCAGTCTGCAGGGACCCCAAACTGACACACATGCAACAGGCCTGCTTCACCCGAGGGGTACCCCGCAGTGTCCTGGATGCGTGGCTTTGAAAAACTAACATGGCTTGCTGCAATCTCACTGGCTCTGCTGCCACAAACTTGATGAGATGCAATTTTTAGGCCTGTCCTGTGGCCTGGCCTCGTAGCTTTTTGGCAAAGGAGAATTTGGGCCTGTGATTTCTTAGGAGGGTCCAACCCCTTGAGTGTGTAATATGTGGCCAATGCTAGAAAGGGAGAGGGGAGAAATAAGGTAGTCAGAAATAAGGAAGCGCAGGTAGTTTCATAGACTGAATTAGGCTGTTTGCAAACCTGATAAAATTTTACCTGCATTTCAGATTGTGGTTGGCTGGAGACTGAAGAGGAAAGCACTTTATTATTAAAGGTATGGTTGTACTTTTAATCTGGTCAGCACTGCATGTAGAAATCTTGGTCACATCTGCTTGTACCTTATCTGGCTGCTGATGAGGAGGTCAGATAAATGATTCACATCATTGTAGCTGAGAAAGGAGGCTTCAGTACACATTAGGAGGTATACAGTACATGTTAATTTCTCTCTGTCACTAGTGAAAGATATGAAGAGAGCTTGTACTGAACAGAGTGAATTTGATTGTCTCATACATGTCTGTGTAAGCTATTGTAAACATGGCGCCAGTAGCCGCCATTAAACTTTTTCAATGTGAAACAAAATGCATAAGGATATCTTAGGTTTCTTGAAGAAATATGCCCAAAGCATGTGTCTGCCTTCCCCTTCAAAGAAAATTCTGGGGCCTCTGTGCAGCTTCCTCTAGACCTAGAAGCACAGCAGCAATCTCAAAAGCTCTGACAAATTTCATGAGAGCAGTTGCATGTGGAGAGGGGATGTTATGGTTGGTAACTACCTGGCTGTGTCCTACTTGGCTAATTGGGGTGCAAAGGGGTGCAGACTAGCTGGAGTGTGTCCTGCCTCTTGCTGGCAGTAGTATCACGAGGGCAGGTGGTGAAGTTTGGGAGAAGGTCCAAGTCTGTAGGAAACAAAGCTTTGTTCTTTCTACTGCTGTTATGAAACAGCTTTTATTTTCCTCAGTGACTTAGAAAATGGCTTCTTTTTTTTTTTTTTTTAATTTTTAGCAGCACCCATTGTATTGCAGTTTGTGGATGGCGAAGGTCAGGGTTCTGTGATGCTCTTGTGTGTTTGGCTGCCCTTAGTTCTTTTCTTTTGAACTCATCGCGACATGCACCAGCAGTCTCTATATTTCCTGATACAAATGGATGCAACAGTTCATCTTTAGAGTAAATATCACTTATTTTATTAGCAATAATAAAAGCCTTGAATCTTTCACTAGGAAATTTTTTTTGAGTTACCAGAAAACTGAACTCTTGCTACCCCAGAAATTTGAGCCTAGGGAGTTCAGTGGTTAGTATATGACTACTCTAGGGGAACAAAAGGTACCTTTCCAATTAAAGTTAATAGAGGGATAACTTCAGACACACAAAAGGAAAAAAAGACACCTATAAGTCATGGTGAGTTCAAAAGGAAAGAATTAAGGTAGACACACAAAGCATCATGGGAAGTGCTATTCAAGCTACCATGTCAAAAAGGCTGATTAACAGCAGTTCCAAGTCTACCTGATCACCAGGGAGTCTTACTGATAAAAATTATTTCCCCTCCAGAGAGAAGAATCTCCCTGAACTGAACAAATGTGTCACTTTTGAATACGGATTCATGAAAAGGCAGAGAAGGAGAAGAAAAAAAGAATAAAGGTAGGCATTCACCAAAAGATCTGAAATTTGTAACTTGTGACTGTTTATCAGTCTTTAAGTTCTGAATGAAACTGCAAGTCATACGTCAGTGAATGGGATTCAGATCATTAGCTTTGCATTTCTTTTTTTCTTTAAAAGTGGCTGTTTGCAGATAAAATTTGCCAGAGTTGGTTGTAATTGCAATCAGGGAAATCTAATGGCTTTGTTTGATGTGCTGCTTAGACCTTTCAGGCTGTAAGGCTTCTGAGGAGTCTTTTAAAGATATTGATTAAATTCTGGAGTTACTCTGTGCAATTCAGTACTGTGCTGTGTGTAGAAGTCGGACTAGATGAGTGTAATGGTGAATTCTGGACATGAAATTTTTTCAAGTCACTAATAAATTACTTTTTCCTTATTTTATTTCTGTTTTTAACACTTAACTGTACAGTTAAGTGTTTAAAAAAAAAAAAAAAAGATTTAGCTACTGGAATATCTTTTGGTGAGCATGATGTTATACAAATGCCAGGATTTCTTTCACTTTACCTGAATCTGTAATTTGACATTTGATAATTCTCATGTATGCTTACATGATATTTTGGAGGGAATCCTCTTTGAATTGCCTTTTTATGTTTGAGTAGCTCTCAGTCTCCTGTATACCTGTGGTTTGTTCTTCCGTTTGTGGTGATGTGGAATGGGTTAGAGAAGAGGATTGCCACGGATGCTGGTCAATATGATTGGTCAGATGCAGTCCAAGATGAAAATGTAGGCACGTGAGATATGTTAGGTAGGGTGGTGGTTCAAGAAATAAAGTGAACAGTGTTTGAGATACTTTCTCTAAGCTACCACAGCAGACATGTTTTAGATGTGTCTAATGCTTTGGTGTTAACTGATGAAAGTTAGGAAAAGTTTTGCAATTAATATAGTAAGCTCTGCTGGACTGCAGCAGCCTGTTTGAGATAGACCAGGGATAACAGAAACAGGAGCAGTGGGTTCTTTGGCTGCAGCTGGACAGTCCAGGCTGTGCTATCTGGGCAGAGGTGGGATGACTTTGTGAATTTCAGCCAGTTGTGAGGAGCTTCATAGTGTATGAAAAATAAATTCATGCTGTTCACCTGCAAAATGGAGGCAGAAGGGGTCTTTAAGTAGCATACAGGGACCTGCTAATGAGCAATATTCTCTCTGGTAAGGTGAAATAAAGATTTTGCCTAGATGGCTGTATATTCTAGATGAAATATTGCCCTCAGAGAAACCACTAAGAGTTTTTCCTCTCTTTTGTCTTGCTCAGCATTTTGAAAACCAATGGGTAGTGAGTTTCACACTACAGTTGTGATATTTCATGAAACACAAGTTCTAAAATTGTTCATGTTATTATATTTTTGTAAATTTATTATTAAATATTACTTGTTATTACTTGTGTTCTCATATTTCTTTTTACTTGAAGTATTATGTGCTGCTATTACTAGTGTTCAAATGTTAGAGTGGGCTTTTGTTAGCTCATTTCCTGACTGTGTTGTTCTTAACACCTCTGAGAGCTGTAGAATATGAACTTTTTCATTCAATCTTTCAGCATCTTGTAATTTATCCGTAATGACACTGTAAAAATGCAGAATGATCGAAGTGTATTACAAATTTCTCCTAAAATGTGTTTATACGTATAGAAATATGTGCACCTGTATAAAGGATTAAATTCAATAACATTTATGTATTATACTTCGTTATGCATCATATTATATGGAAGATTTAATTAAAACCTAAGAAAATTTATGTAGAGAGTTAAAAAGTGTGAGTATGTTCAAATAGATACTGCATGCAATTATCTGAGAGATTTGTTTAATCTCTGTAAGTACTTGCTTTTGTCCATCCAAATGAGTTGAGTTTAGTATTTAGCAACAGAAAAGGAAGATCATTGTGATTTTTCTTCATTTGACTGTAGAATGCTGCCACCTGGAAAGCAATTTATATGCTTTAAGTTCATAATTACTAGGCAAGTTACTCAAAAGGGATCTATTCTGTTTCTGTTTATTTCCACTCTTGGTATTGATGTGTTTTTTGAATGGGAATTGGTTATCCTTTGGGAGGAGGAGAGAGCAGTCTCTTTGCATCCAGTGTGAGTACATCCCTGTAGCAAGCTCTAGCTCAGTAAGAGCTTGGATACATCACTGGGCTCTCCATCATTCAGCTGCATGACTGGGGCCCCACAGCAGTCTGGAGACTCCTCTGTTGTTTGTCTGCTCTTTATTAAGAGAGCATTGTAGGCCTATGGTGCTTGTTGGCTTTCATGAAGAAGTCTCTGTCATTGCTCTAGTAAGCAATTTTAAAATGTGAGAGTGTTTTGGGGATTCTGTTTGAAGGAAAATGACAAGCACATTTAGTAAATCAGAGTGTTTGCTTTTTTTTTTTTTTGGCGGATGAGCTGACAGTATGCCTCAAATGTAATTGATTATTGGATGACTTAACATCAGTAATTTCAGCACGGTGTAATATGTTTGACATCATTCTTAAACACATTGTAAGGTGGGAATAGTTTCTGCTGGATGAAGAATTACTACAATAGGAAGAGGTTAGGAGAAGATAGGTTGACTTTAAAGGAAAAATTGCTTTTTGGTGGAGTAAAACTTGCTCTGTTTGTTATTTGCTCTAAAATGTCATTGGTTTCCTCCCCCTGAAAATTTCTGTTCTCAGGAGTTTCCCAACTGGAGAGTTTTTATTCTTACAAAAACAGATTTACTTCTTAACACATTTAATTTCCATCTTTTTCTCTTGAACCTTACAATTAAAGATACCGTTTTAACTTCTCTGTATCACTATAGGTGAATCTGCACCTTTCCTGGTGGGGAGATCCCCACCGGCCCTTGCACCTTCCTGGATTCTGCATTGTCTTCCCTCAATGCAGAAAGGCTTTTGCTAGAAATAATCAGTGTCTTTGTCATTTAGATTTTGTTCTATCAAATTAATTTGCTGTTCTGTTATTTTTATGCACAAACTTGGCCATACCATCATCCATGCTGCTTCTAAAATGTGGACTATCTATCTGTGAATGTATGGCAGCTCTGTTCTTTGTCCCACTGAAGTCTTTCTTGTTATATTCACCTCCACTGAGCTATGTTTAGGGAAACTTGCTGTTGGTGTCCCACAGAAGAGGCAATGTAATTATGCTGGTTGTACACTCAGCATCTCCTCCCAGCTTGAGTTTACCCAGCTGTCTCTTTCACTCCTTGGAGCAGAGATGAGGCTTTCTCATAGATCTGAAAGTTATTTAGGGCAGGTTGTACCTAATGCTCAGAATAATCGATTTGTTAATTATGTTCTGGGGAGCTCACCCTGGGGAAGTGCTTCTTCCCAAGTCTCTAATCAAGGATGTGCTGATGACACAAAGCTGGGACTCATCAGCATGAAAGGGGGTTGGGATCATGCACAGAATGAGGGCTACAACTGGGATCAAACTAATGAGCACAGAGGATAATGTCGTGCATTTGGGGGCTATTACTGACACCTGCTGCTTGAAGCTGGGAGGTCTGGGAATGACCGAGAAACACTCATGAGCTGACTCAGCTGTGAAGATGTGCAAGAGGTGAATGCAATCCTAGGATGTCTCTGGAACAGTATGTCCAGATAGGGAAATACTACTGACATCATACAGTGTTCATTAATGAGACCTTGTTTAAGACCCTGTGTATGGTTTTCATTAGTATTCGAGACAGATGACCTGAAACTGAAGCTTGCCTAGCCAAGGGTATTGGGATAATCAGGGGAATGGATGGGTGGTTTTACAAGCAAAGGCTAGAAAAAGTAGGCTTGCTTGACTTAGCAAGGGAAAACCTGGGAGCATGTGTGTGTATAGATATATATTTTTCTCTAAATACATCATGGCAGAAAGTAACTTTTTATACTGAAGGCCTGTGTTGGCAGAGGAACAGAGGGGCATAAACTGGCGAGGACTGCGTATAGGTTAGGGTTAAGAAATGAGGTTTTGACTATGAAAGCAGTCAAACTCTGAACAGACACTGCATGGGAGCAGTGGGGGGTGCAAGATGTAGCAGAAGTGAAGATGAAACTCAGTAAGTTTATAAAAGATTATCTAGAGCAAAGCTGCTCCTGGGAGCCAGGGATCAGACTCTGAGCCAGGTGATCATCCTAGGTTTATGGCTGTTATGGCCTGCAGATGTCATTTTTTTTATTTGCACACATTTCAAAAATACTGTAACAAGTATGTCTCAAATAGGATTCAAACATAGACATCCTAAGTTTTAGTGTCACTTAAAATAGACTTATGGGGGTGTGTTTCGTTAACAGGAAAGTAGGCTTATATCCAATCAAAATTGGGATACCAGTTGTGGTTTACTTCATTGTTTTGCAAAAAATGCCATTTTCTGGAGAAACTTTTTTTTTTTTCCTCAAGATACACGTATTTAGAGAGTCTATTTGCACTTGAATAATTACTTGCAGATAGCAGGATGTGTTTGTAACTCTGGTTACCTCCCAACAGCAAACAAATTTTCCATCCTTATCTTGATGTGGGGTTTGAAGCAGCTGCTTTTTAAATCATATTAGCTTAGCTTACTGAACTCCACTGAAACTCTGCGTTTCTAAAATTGCGCCATAGGTGTTAAAATGTTTCTATTCAAACCATCCCTGCGTGCTAATTCACTCAGTTGAATTGGTTTGGTTAAATAAAGCTGTTTTTATTACTGACATACGTTTCCAGCCCTTTGAATATCATCCACCATCTGATAGGAGCTAAATAAAAACTACTGAAAAAAATCTGTTGAACAACAAACTTTTTTCAAAAAAAAAAATTCCTCATGATTTATATATTTGTCTAAAACAAACTGCTGGGTTTATCTATATAAGGCTCTAACTCCTCTTAAATAAAGGATGAATAGTGTTGACTTCACTGTTGGACCAATCTCTTGTAAGTGAAAGGAGATTGGGATGCAAGACACTTTCCAGCTACTTCTATCAGAGGACCTAATGAAAGGAGAAAACCATAATAAGAGCCATAAAAATATTCTCCTCCCATGCGCTCTAAAAGGACGAGTTTGGCATTTGATGGGATGCCAATGTGCTGCAAGTGTTGACTGCTGTTCTTTAAAGCCTTATAAAGAAACAAAACTAACAAAAGACACTACAGACAATATTGCAGCAACGAGTGTTTCTTGGATGTCAAACACCCTCCAGCCCACAGCACTTTGATCTCAGGAACAAACCATAAAGAACAAATAGAGTAATTTTTCTTACGTGCTAACATTTAACAGCGAGGTTGACGAACTTCTGGAAAACCAGCATAATGGGCATGCCTTTTCCATTTGTTAAATTGTTTTGACAAGGGCATATTTCATTTAAAGAGGCTGTTTTCTATTCCTTCCCTTTTTGGTCGCTGAAAAAAATAAGAGGAACCAATATAGAACTTCACAGCACAGATCAGCTCACCTTCCATGTGAGCCAAGTGGGAAAAAAAACATCGCTTAAATGCTCTTTTTTGAGGGCTTGGAACAGGGAAGTGAGAGAGGAGTGCATAGACAGCGTAGCAAGGTATTTGTGAGCTTTGGCTCGGCCAGCCTGTTCATTGAAAGCCTCCGTTTCCATTAAACAAGCCAAAGAAAATGTATAAAATACATTAATACACGCTGTATGTGTTAGGGATGGGAGCAGCGGCTTAGAGACTATCAAAACCCCTCTGATGCACTGCTGGAACTAGACACGAGCGCCTGGGGGCCTCCACCGTGCCCAGTCAGTATTTACCAGCCACAAAAGAGGTGCTGCTTTTACGCTGTCATGTCTCTGCCCTTTCATGTTTCATTAGGAATTGAAACCTCCAGGGAGGAGAGGGTTTCCTCCTGCATTGCCAGTCCATCTACCTCTGCAGCGTGCTGCCACGCTCCCCCAGTCCCTGCTCTTTTCCCTCTTTGTGGGCTTAGGGCTTTGGTCTGCTTGGTAGGCATATAGGCTTTTGGTTAGCTAAAACTCAGGCTCTATTCACATATGCTTCTGAGATTCATTTTGCTAGCATCTCTCTGTCTTCCTAGGCACTAAATGTGTTTTTTTTTCAGGGGTAGAGCAAGAGACTCTGGGAGTTTTGCCTTCTTGAAGCTACAAGTTCCAATTTTGACAGGATTTAGCTGAAGCCTTTCACTGTGAAGAGACGCTGATCTGCACAACTCATAGTGGAAACCCTTAGCTTGTCCAGGGCTCGTCTGCTGTGTCTGAGTGGGTGCTGGCAGTCTCTGGGTGTTAGGGTCCAGGTTTGCCCCACTGATTTCATTCTTTCCCCCGCTCTGCAGTGTAATGTCTGTGTTTTAGCAGCTCTGTGAGAGACCCATCTCTAACTTCAGGTAGACCTTACCTTTTGCCTGAGAGATCCAATCCTCTCCACGTTATGCAGGCGAATTAATCAACCAATTTCTGCTCTCAGTGTGTTTTCTTTTTGAGAGAAGATGATGACCAAAGCCATTGCTGAGAGATGACTGTATCCTGAGCCTTTTCTTGGGCAGAATCCACCCCCTTGCTGGCAGAAATGCAAGGATCCACCAGTACTTGATTTGAAGCCCTTGTTCAGCTATGCTCTGCATTAAAAATGAAGTTCAAGTTGCCTAATAGATGCCTGTTGGATTTTCTCCTGGCCATTTGCAGAAGGAGGAGTATTTATACTACCCAACTTCAGGCACCTGACATAGGCTAAGGGCTGCTTCTGGATCTGTTTGTGCTGCTGGACAGGGATACTGGCTGCAGCTTGTGCGAGGTCACAGAACTGTAGGGGTTGGAAA